TTTTTTGTATCATCGACACTTATAAATTTACAGGTGATCATGTATTGTATTATATTATATTTCTGGAAAATTTAAGGGATAGTTATATAATAATTTTGAACGATCTCGGGCGGTTGGATACTTATGACCGCTACTGTAAATGAAGAAACTTTTTTGACAAGTAATTTCTGAAGATGATAAGGAAACTTTTGAATTTCTTTGAGAATATCCTCTTCTATATCAAAAGCTGATATTTTTTTAATACAAAAATCATAGGCGACTTTTTCAAAATCTAAATGCCTTTTTAAATCAAGAGCATTAATCTTATGAACAGCACCTAATAAAATAAATAAAATATAAATAAAATATTTAAAATAATGAAAAAAAATTTAAAAAATTAATAAAACATTTTTACCAATTAATCCATATAATGAAGATATTTCTCTTTTTAATTCACTATAGTAAGATTCTAATGGATTTGTAGAAGTAACTTGTAAAAGCAAAGGTGAATGTTGTCGTGTCCATAATGTCTATTGTGATATATTCTTCATATAATTTTTTCTATATAATTTTTAATAGTAGAAATAGGATAGGCATTGATGGCATCTTGTATAAGCTTTTTACACCTAATTTTCGTCCTTTTGTGCATTGCTACGACCATAATATCCCATGTTTTTTTATCATAAATCTTAGTCATCCATATTTACATAATATGAACAGTGCAAAGAATTATCTCATATTCTTATTCACTACCATTAAGACTAGGAAAAACCTTTTTAATACTTTTTGCTTTAATACTACTTTGATCTAAAAAAATGTATCGTGGATCTATTGGCAATATTTTTCACGAACTATTTTTAATGCTTTTGTAATAATATTACTATCCTCATTATTTACAAAAGTGTACACCAGCATCTTAATACCTATAATTATCTCAAATATATAAGGTAAAAAGACGCTAATCATATCAGTTAGTTTTATGAATAGAATCAATAAGTATTAACCAGCCATGATGCAAAAGTTTTTTAAGTTATTCAGGGTGGATAAATACAAAACCTTTGGTAAATGGTTAGAAAATATAATAACTTTCAACTTGATATCCTTGATTTATTAAATATGATATAGTCTCCACTATATCTTTTTTTAAGTCATGATTACCAATAAAATGGATCTTCATAAATTCACGAATTTTATACTTTATATTTGAAGACCTAATTTGGTTGTTATATATTTCTTTATAGCAGCAGTAATTACTGATGAAGTATAGTTTTTAACTGCCTCTTTTTCAACTAAAGTTCAAATAGCTTATAAATGTTTAACCTTATCATTTTCTCTCAAATCGTGAGTATGATCAGGTAAATTATTATAATGTTTTAATAATTCCTAAGAAACTAAGTATGTAATTTTAATTTTTATTTGGTAAATATTTGAAGGTCAGATTGCTGTTTTTTTACGTTTATTAATCAGAATATTTTCTTTTGCCTTTTACTTGATTTTTAATATTTTATAAGTTAACATGCAAAAACCTTCTAAGAATTACCATTGGCAAATCTCTATAAATTCTATTGTATTCAAATATTTGTAATCAAAGGTTACCAATTGTCATCGAAATCTCTGATTAGAATCTCTAAAGTACTATTTATATTAAAAATAAGACTCTGAATTTCATTCAGAGTAAGGTTAACTAAAGAAGACATAGCTGCTGAAGAGGTAGTGGAATCCTTATTAACAAGAGAAGATAAAGCTGTTAAAAAACTAATAGAATTCTTATTAACTAAAAGAAACATAGCTGCTGAAGAATTATTAGAATCCTTATTAAACAAAGAGATGTAGCTGTCAAAGAGGTAGTATAATTCTCATTAACTAGAGGAAACATGACCACTGAAAAGGTAGTAAAATCTATAATTTACCACAATCTTCTCATTTTAAAAGTTTACAGTCACCGGCGAAAGTAATGGTACTACAAATGCTACTTATTTTTTGAGTCGTAGCATGTTCATTTTTCACTTTAGAATTTTTCAGTATTTTTAGAGTGTTCTTTATAAATAATATTAATAAACAAACAAAAAAAAGTTGTAGAAAAAAATGAATTTCTTCATGTTTTTTATTTAAAATAGTATTAACCACCCATGAAAGAAACTGAAATGCTGTTAACCTTCTTTAGCAGTGAAAAATCTGAAATGCAAGAGAAATTTCACAAAGAACAGGTATTCCCTTACACTCCTGTTATTGTTATGTTAGTTCATTAAAGAAAATTGGTAAGATTACTATAAGTTATCGGTCTGATTGACCACGAAAATTGACTTCTAAAAAACACCGCTAAATTGGAATAATCGTCAAGCATAATTATTCACTACAGCAAGTGAAATGAAGGCCCAACTTAAAGAAAAAAATCCAGAGTTTGAAGTTAGTGAATGGACCATTCGTCGTGAGCTAAAATATCTTGGATTTGTATCTATTCATCCCAGAAAAGTTCCTCTTTTGACATAGAAAGCAAAAAAGAACCAGTTGTTTTGGGTCCGTGATCACGTGAATTATAATTAGAAAAAGGTGGTATTTTCTGATGAAACTACACTTCAAATGTTCTGTAATACCCTTTCATTATGGTCATGTGACAAAAAACCTATTGCTCTGATGGTAAAATACCTATTTAAAGTTCATGTTTGGGGTGCAATTAGCGTTAAGAGAAAAATTGGCATACACATGTTCACTGAAAATTTGGATTATCATTTATATCGTCAAATTTTGAATGAACATTTATATGATAATGCAAGTGCAATAAATAATAACCGATGGGTCTTTCAGTAAGATAATGACCTGAAACATATTTCCTGTGATGTTCAAGGTGACTTAAAAACTCACCTTCCAAGTCGGATTCTTTCTTGGCCTTCCTATAGCCCTAATCTTAATTCTATTGAGAATGTTTGGGCTATTTTAAAGAAAAATGTTGAGAAAGAGGTCAAGAGAATGGTGGCACAAAGGAAAAAAATCTCAAAAGAAATTTTTTTAAATTTAATTAGGAAGGAATGGGATGATATTGAAAACATCGCAATAGTTAACTGCATTAATAGTATGTCAAGTCACATTAAAGTATGTATTGACGCAGAAGGAGGCCATACCAAATATTAATTAATTAATAAAATATATGTAATTTTGGTCGGTCTTTCAGAAAATAAAATTTTTTTTTTATTTTTTATTATAAAATTGCGCACAAATTATTAAAAAACTGAGTGCCATTACTTTCGCCGGGGTCTGTAATTCTACTCTTTTTTCTTAAACCTAGATAAAAACAGTATAATGCTAATAACATAGCTGAAAAAAGAGCTACAATACTTCTAACACATAAAGTGTTTACTTTGATAATAAAGTTAAGTATACATTTTATTTTTTTTTTTAATTTTTTTAGCCAATAGCATTTACCCATTATTCCTAACCAATTATTGTACGTTCACGTGAGATCACGTGATACTACTCCGCTTTAACCAGAGGGTCCTTAGACCGCATCTGTGTATTTCACGTGATATAAAATATTTATTTATACATGGGTCTAGGATAATAACCTAAACCCTGGTCTAGGTTAAATTTGCCTCTTTAACCAACTGATGAGTCAGAACAATCTGTGCGACAATCGATTTCTCATATATATACACCCCAAAAATTTTTTTCCAATTTCATCGATTCGTGCCACACTTTTTAAAGAAATAGCCATGTCCAATGTTTATCAAGCAATCGCAAATCTTGATTCAAACGAGGAAAGAACTGCGCTACGAACTTTCTTCACTCAGAATCAACTGAAGCGGAACTCATCCTTCCTACATGTAGTAATGAAGATGTGGTTGCTTATTTAAAAGATCTCTTAAAATCTGGTATGTTCTCTCAGCCGTGTCATATTCGCCAATAATACCGAATACTTACTTATTCTTGTGCTTTTCTTTCCTGCTTCTTATCGTCAAACCCGCCCAAAAAACACATTCGCGTTATCGCAGATCAACCCGGTGCTGGTAAGAGAGTCGATCTCGTCTGTTGTATCAAACTTATGTTCTGAACTGTAAAATTTTTTCGTTGTCGTCGCATTTGTTAAATCGTGCCTCATTTATTTGTTCTTATTATACAGAATTTCCCAATAAGCGAATGAAAGTTGATGATGGAGACCTGTTGAACTTTTGGAAGGCTTTAAGAACTACTACAATTGGTGAAAAGGATAATTCCCTCAAATTGCCTGATAATATCCATTTTTTGGGGAGAACTGACGAAGCTTCAGTCTTATTTATTCGTCAATGTTATCGTGACCTGTTAAAGGTTGTTTTTAGCAATAATACGAGAAGATTGATTATCACTGGAAATCCAGGGATAGGAAAAACGTTTTTTGGCTACTATATACTTTATGAGCTCATGCGAAAAAACGCAACAGTTATATACGACAAAGCTAATAAGTTTCCGATTTTATTCAGCAATCAAACCGCTGTTGTTGGTGAAACTCTATTCAGTTTTTATGATCTTCTAAATAAACAAGACGTCTGGTATATCGTAGACGGTAAAGAACCTCATGACGTTGATGCTAAGACAATTCTTGTCTGTTCACCCAAGAAGAATTACTATGTAGAATTTGATAAGCATCCTTTAACAAAAACACGGTATATGTCGACGTGGGACAAAAGAGAGATTGATGCATGCTGGGAAAAGATTTATAAAAACAAAGTCGATAAAAAAATTGTTGATGATTTATTTTATAAATGGGGAGGAATTCCTCGATTCGTCTTGGAAAAAGCTAATGAAGGAACTCAGCAAAATAAGCTCCAAGAAGCAATTGACGCATGTGACGAGAGTATACTTATGAGTTCTATTGGCAAATCTGAAGCCAAACAAGATATAAGCCACAAGCTTATTCACATTATGACGAATCCCCCGATCGAGGAGAGCAATGATTACGATCTTGAAGGAGATGATGGTCTTGAAGAAGATGATGATGACGTTGAATACGTTGAAGAGGAACCCTATACACAAAAAATTATAAAATTTGCGTCTGTGTATGTGAGTGAAATAGTGATTAAGAATTTTGAAAAGACCATCATGAATAAAATGCGTACAGAGTTGAATGTAAGCCTGTCAAACGGCATTAGTAATCCAGTATTGGGTAGTATTTTTGAGGAGATAGCTCACACGATATTGAAAAATGGGGGAAAATTCAAGATTCGTTCTTTAGATGATTCTGCAAGATATGATCAAACGATTAATAGGCGAGATAAGATATATACATTTCTACAATTGAAACGATGACTAATGGAAATTATTTTCGACCAGATAATAATAATTTCCCATCAATTGATTCTATCATTGCGCCCGACAAGCTCTTCCAGATGACTACTGCCATAAATCATCCTATAAAAATGATTGGTTTGAAAAAAGGTTATGCCAAATTAGCAAAGACAGGCGACATTGATTTTTTCTTTACTGTACCAGTGCAGTTATTTGACAGTTACAAAAAACAGAAGTTTGTTACCACCAATAATAATAACGCCAAGAGAAAATCATCCTGGATTAAAAATCGTGTCAAGCAATATGTTCTAGGGATTGATTTGAGTTCCAAATTAGATGTTGATGAAGGTAATAGATTAGGTAATGTCAGTGGTGGTGATGGACATTCTTTATTAGGTGGACGTAGAAAGAAAAAGTAAAAGTAATGATTTATATATTCATTAGATATAGAGTTATAGAAAAATGGCATTTACATAACATTATATGATAATTTTTTCATTCCCATACTTTGTATTATTTCTATTTGCTATTTTATATGAAAAAAATCGATTAATAAATTCATGCGGATTGTCATATTACTGTATCTATGATACTCGTATTATTGCAAGAAATCTTATTTAACATTTATGCGGGTTGGTGCTAGAGGTTTCTTAATAAAATCCCAAATAGTGTCTGTAAAATTTCGTCATGTGAAATCGATCACCTGGCTAACGCAAATGCGCAGTAAAATTCTTGTCAACAAATAGGGGGACTGCGAATCGCCCAAGGTGTAAATACGAATATTGCAATTATGTAAATAAGCAAATATAATGGGCATACTTACTACGTATCTCTGTATGAAAAAGTGCCAGTGAAACAAAAGTTACTTAGCGAAACATCGGGTAAATATTTACTTTCGGTTTAGGCTGAGCATTTGCAAGAAGGCGTAATACATAGTTCCCTTTCAAGATTCTTATTAGTGTTATGACCAAGGTCAGGATGAAAATAATGAATATCCCTTAATCCGTCTATTTTAGCGGACAAATTTGTATGGTAAAATGATTAAAAGTAAATCAGGCTTTAAATATAATTTTTTTATTAAAAATTTATTCTGATTGGTTGAAATAATTCCTAATAGTATGAGTTAATGTGACATAATTTCTGGTCGCAGTGTTGCATAATGTCACGTGATTAGAAAGAACAAATTTTCTTATGACTTTTATATTTTGATAAACTTCAAAAAATTTTAAAAAATAATGAATAATATTGCCATCAAAATTTAAATTTATTTATTTTTATCAATTGAAAAAAAAAAATTACAAAAAATTAATTATTGGTATAGAATTGTAAAAAGCAATTTTAGATGTTATTGCAACAAAAGAGGCACATTGTATAATACACACCATAGTTAACTTTGATGTGATGTTTTACAGTCCATATCTATTTCTTTTTATTTGCCAACCATGTACACCATCTGCGTTCTTTACGTTTCTCTCTTTACTCTGCATAGTGATTCTCAGAAACAAATCGTTGATCTGAAAGTTCAAAATGCTTCGTTACTTTTGGCTGTTTTACATCTTTATCTAAACTATTCCTTAGTTAAATTTTTCCTGTATTATTTGCAAAATTAATAAGATCCTAAATAAATTCCTGACGGAATTCTTTTTGCTTTTGTGTTGATCTTGCAATTTGAACGATTTAATATGCATTAATAATTACAATATCGAAAAGCCAAAAAAAATTGGCATTCAATTTTGCTGTAACACTTTCTGAGTATAGTAATATGAAATATAATTGATTTGCAATATTAACACCATTCATATAATGGTTGTAGTCATCAATTATTTTAGGAATTTTTAATTTTTTGTTCGATTCAGAACTAAACACTACTCATATCTTTATTGCATTAACACTTGTTTCCCTTAGTCATCATCATTCCCATTCTACTTACCATTCTTTACTAACAAGTCTATAGATAATTGATAACATTGTAACTGACCTATTATTCTGCCAGAAGATAGCTAATATACTATCCACCACAACCTCAGAACGAATATCCTAATCAAGTTTAATATTTTTGTCTAATTTTAATTCTTTTGGAAAACCTGATGCAGTTTTTTGTATAGTTCTGTAAGCTTTAATCACATTCTGCTGAAGATGTTAAAAAAGAGAAATGCTAGTAAAATAGTTATTTATATATATATTGTACGAAAGTTGATGATATAAAAGTTGATTTATAAGATGATAGACTTGATATCCAATTTGGTTCAGACTGTTCACTTTATTACATTACTTGAAATGATATGTGACGTTAGCAAAAAGTAAAAGTGTAACCAGAATCACAAAGAGACAAAAATTTAAAGCCTTCAAGGGTTGGCTTATTTTTAATTCATATAGTGTAAACACTTCTTTCAGAAAATCAAATTATCATTTTATCTATTAAAATATTAGAATTTGACACATATAGTTTCTTCAGATATGTAAAAATAATAGTTCTAATTTATCAAAATAATTTTTTTATTATTGTAACAGGTGAAGAATATGTAAGAATCTCTTTATTTGTTTGAAATGTTTTAGTGACATTTGTTTTGAAATACAGTAAATAGGAAGTTTCTCATTTTCATTCTAATATTGAAAAAGAGAAGGAAGTTTATAGAGTCCTTAATAAATGATTAAAGTAATCTAGATAAGAAGCTCTTTATATGTAAAATCTAACCAACACCTTCTAGTAATACCAGCACCTTTGAATAATGCATAAAGATTAGTATTTTTGACAATTGTATTCAACATAATTAGTGTAAAAAAAAGAAAAAAAATCAATTGGTTTAGAAATACCAATATTAAGATATACCGGCAGCTGAATAGATACCTAATAAAGTTATTTTTGATAAACAAATAGTTTAAAATTAGTGGGTGATAATAGTAGTTCTTGTTATAAAGTTCTTATTGACTTTTGTTTCCTTTTGCGAGTACTTCTAGTGTTTTGAATTTAGTTTTCATTTTTGTTCTTATTATCTAAATCTAAATCATCTAAGAAATACTAATGAGACGTTAAAAGAGACAAATATTTCTTTTCATTAGAACCTATTTTCAAAGTTTCGTAGATAAAGAATTTGAAGAACTTGAGGCTAATGCATTTGACATAAGAGACAAATCAACTTTATTATTTTTTTTTTAAAAAAAAGTGATTATTAGGTTATACAAATGCAATCTGCATATCAATAACAATTATTATTACAAAAATTTCTATCACATAATACAAAATTATAAATAATCCAACCATTCATATTAGCTTAATAATAGGAGGGTGAAGCTTAAGAAATATTGACGTAATCGTATAAAATAGTATAAAAAATTTGGCGTTTAAATTTAAATACTGGATGATCTATAAAATAGTAAGCTATTGAATGGTAGATAAAACAGGTGTAGTGAATAGGATAGATTATCATAATGAAGCAGATCCTTTTAAAACTGAGGCATAGAAAAAATCATCATATATTATGGACTAAGTTTCATATTATGTAATTTATTTTAGTAGTCTCTTTAGAATCAGACTTAATATATTGCACGTTTAGGATACTAAATAACCTGTAAAATAAAATCAATTATTTTCTCATATGAAAGATGATTGGTATGATTTCTCTAGAATCTATATACTAATTTTTTTATTGCTCGAGTATAAATACATATTAATACAGAATAATTTAAGAAATCTAGATCAGCAAATTATTAGATAATATGATTTCTAGCAAAGATCCAAAGACTTTCATATTTTGCAATGATCATAACTCTTAACTGCAAAAAAATCATAATTATAAAAATACTGGATATATCAGAGGTATCTAGTAAGAGAAATAAATAAAAAAAAGTAATATATTCATCAATTCTTAAAATATTCTAACAAATACTTTATTTCAAATCAATTAATTCAATTTTTTACGCATAAAACTATTGATATATTTTTCACAACTTTTAAATTAACAAATACCTAATAAATTCCTTTAAAAAAAATAATTTCATTCACCTTTAATGCTATCTTATTCCTCATTTTCGTTGCTTTTATCATAATATATGAGATACTTTTCTAGAGTATTTTAACAATATAGACACTTCTAACCATTTTTCAGGAAATGGTATAATATATATATTTTTTGTAGAAGCATTCTTATTCTTATATAAATACCTATCATTAAATTTAAAAATGAAAGAAAAATATAACTATTATCACAAGATAAGAAACATTCATCATTTTCTAATCTTTCAGTTATCTTTTTACATATATTCTTAAAGGTAAAGAGGTACTAACTTTTTATTATCTATCATTAGGTTTCTCTTTCAGTCATGTATCTATTAGTTAATATTTGAAATATCCTGATAAAGTTCAAACTTTATGGTGGATTCATAATTCTATTTAATCAAAAAAAAGGAGGGATGCTCTCACACACAATTATACAATGTAATTTCTTAAGAAATTCATCTAAGCTTAACGATTTTGATGAGTTTCTACCATCATCAAAAAACTCTGAGAACTACTTTCTTGGATAAAATTGAAGAATGGGTTAGAAGAGAAGGAGAAAGGATTCTAATAATAGTAGTAGCAGTAGTGATAATGATGATGATAATGGTAGAAATTATTAGAGTCAAAGAATAGGAATAGTCATTGTCTTTCGAGACAGACTTTAAGTCTGACTGCTAATATATTAGACTAATTACCTATTGTAACTATCTGTTATTTAGAATGTATTTTCCTATGCAACTTCACAAAATTTTATTTTTATTTTTATATCAAAAATGTCTTTATTATAAAAATTTTACATAATATTTAAATAAAAACATAAATTAGCGTAGTAAAAGAATCTGTTTTACTTGTTTAGATCATATGTAATATAAATTTTAACTAAAGATATTGTGCTGTCTATAGTAATCAGGTCTAATTTAATTGAATCAAAAATTATGAATCTATTTTTATCTGAATAATCGAATAAAAATGAATTTGGATTTATTAGAGTATAATATTGCTAATTAGTTAAAAATACTATAAAATCAATAAAATTATTAAATATATTAGAAACTCATATTAGCAAATCAAAGCCTAATAAGTGTATTAATATTATTTTAGGCAATGATTATAACAAAATTGTGCCTAAGCCCATTAATCTTTATCCTAAATATGATATTGAATATATTAGATTGTTATAATTTTCTTTATCCTGATCAATTTGAAAAGATGGTTGAAGTCAAAAAAATATATGATAATTTATTTATTATTAGTTCGTATAAAACTCTATAGCAATGGGCTATTCGTATAAAAGACGCTTTGTAAGCATTAATTACTGAAGACCATAAAAACTATTATCATGTATTCTGCCATTTTGGATCATCTAAGAGTAACCAAGACATACTATAATAACTAAGAAGAAAGAGAAGTTGCCATTAGTTA